ATTCTATTGAATTTTAGTTCTAATTTTCATAATATTAATTCATTTACTCAATATATCATCTCAAAACTATTCACCTTGTTTTAACAAAATTCTCTTTTCCCGGTAAGTGAATTACTCCAGAGCAATTGCGTTTTGTTAAAAATAGTATGCGAAAATGTGCGTTGGATCTGATTTTTAGTTCTTTTTCCTTGCGGCTTTTGGGTGCGTGTTGATTTTGATGTCGGAGCTTTTTTGCCAACTTTTTGTGTGCGACCGAAACATTGTGAACTCTTCTGGCCTCCCGATAGAGTAGAGTAGTTAATCGGAAGCTTGGGTGTTAGTGGTTTTTTATTTATGGACATCGGGTTGAAAAAAAAATTTTGACTGTGTTGTTTGCCAATTGCAGGTTTAGACATGCGTTTCCTGATTTATAGTTATAGAGTTATAGTTTGAAATGGAATTTGGTACATGAAATACTTTCTATTTATAAGCTATCAAAGGCAAATTATTTTGCATAAAACATATCAATTTCTACCAACGTATACATTGTTCAAAATATAAACAATTATATTGAATTGATGAATTTATAACCTTCGGTAAAGTTAGCATGTAATTGAAGTTGAATTTGAGTATTTGATACATAGAGTACGGATTTAATCATTTTCATATTGTATAAATTTTCATAATAATTTTATTGGGTATTGGTCAGTCATAGATTTGTTTTATTGTAATGTTGAATTTTAGCCCATCTGTTTATTTTTGCAAATATAAGAAGATTCATACTTGCACTTTTAGACAAGTTGTTCTGGTTTATATAGTTTAATATGAAGAATGTTTTACCGAATTCAGTTTAACCGTGTATAAAAGTATGCATGTAAATAAATTTTTGGTGGTAAGAAACTAAACTTACATGCGTTTCAATTTCGTAGAGTCTGACAACATTTGATTTTTTATTTCTATTTATTGTTACTATATTTTTATATAAGTTAAGATATCGAACGAACGTCGTCTATCTGTATATTAAAAAAAATGTATCCCAAAAATTTAGACTGGACCCACAATTTTTGAAAACCGCTTCAAATCGAAACTAAATTTGGATTCTGTAGTAGATGTTCTCTAATTTTTTTATAACACGTACTTACTATTCTCACAGTCCAAAATTGTACTTTTTCTTGAAACTAGACATCATGTAAAATAATTATTTGTCATTTGTATCATTGAATTCCGAATTTGGTGTGTGTTTGAGTCTATCGTCTAAAGAAAATAATGAATTCCAAAAAAAAGTAATAATATATATCAGTAATGTTAAAGCTACACGTATAAGGATTCTTTTCTGTTGATATATCATTATTAAAACAATTTGAGTATGGATAAACAAATAATTGAGTAATTTTATAAATCTATATGTATCAGTTAAAAACTACCTGTATCACTTTACCATCGATCTTATTTCTTTACCAATTAATTACATTTGTTTCCACTATCCGAAGGACCGGTGTTCGCGACATTGCCAATAAACCGAATTGCCCAAATGCTTGACGCGTGTCCGAGCACGGCCCCGATGGGTTAGTCGGCCCGTGAATATACCAACTGCCGAAATTTTAACCCCTTTCTTCCTTTCGACTTGCGGGTCGATTATAATTCGCAGTCCGGAAACAAAGTGGCGGCGGCATGCTGTAATAAAACGTTACTTTTCCTATATCATTGTGCTCATCCGGTCGAAAGTTGTATTTAAATAACCATAATAAAAGGGATATGATGGGGATTAGGATAAGAAAACGGTGGATGGAAATGGTATAACAAAATATTGATAGTATTTATTTGGGTTTCAAGTGCGATTCACGAATGACTAATCGCTACTTTACATGAACTCTCTAATAGGCTAGAACCACTGAACAGAACAACAGTAGTTTCAAAAAAAAATAATAAAGTACGAATTTAAACTGTGAGAATTGTGAGTTACGCATTTTTAAAAAATACTTATGAATCCGAATATAGTTTTAAAAGCGTTTTTGAAAATTAGGGATCATCAATGTCTAAATTTAAATAACTTCAATAAAAGGTGTATGATAAATATTAGGATAAAAGAACGATGAGCTGACCTGAGCTATTAAATTTGCCAGAATCTCAAGAAATTATATGCAACCATTAGCAATTTATATATCGTTTTAATTGCGTTATTATTTAGTCTCGTTTTAAGCAGTTTTCAAAAATTGAGGATCATCAATATTTAAATTTAAGAACTTTAATAAAATGTGTGTGAGATTGAAAAATCTGCTTTCGCTGATATTTC